ACACACTCTCAATTAGAACGAACATCAGCTCTCCCTGCCATGACCATGTGGAAAGACAAGATGGAAAACCACCACCCACCTCATCCCAAGTCAGCAGCTCCCAGTAGGTCTCCTTGGTGCAATAAGGGCAACCCTTTCCTCCTCAGATGAGCTCCCTTTATGGCTGTTAGAGATCTCTCAAGTCCTCTTTTTGGGAGGAATCCAAATTTCAGGCAAACAGACAAACAAAAGAGAAAGAAATTTAAAAAAAAAAAAAAAAAAAAAAAAAAAAAAAAAAAAAAAAAACACGGAAAAGTAACACATGCAGCCATTTGGCAGCTTGGATCCTGTTTTCTTGCCCAATTTTTAATCCCCCTTTCCATGGGGGTATATCAGCATTATGTACCCAGCAGCCCCATCAGTGTGGACCCCTCAAGCCTCTAGGCTCCAGCTCCCATGCCAGCTTCTCTAACGTGGCACTGCTTTGGTTGGAAGTCGTGCTGGGGCAGGCAGTGATGACTCAGGGCTCCAGCTCAGAAGCATTACCCCTGGGACACTGAGATGTTAGCAGAATACAGCCCAGTTTTCATAACTAACCCTTCTTGACCTCAGCCCCCTTTACTCCATATTGGTTTTCAATACACAACTTCATAATTCAGAAAATGAACACAGTTTTCTTCAAATGGGTCAAATTTATTAAGGAAAAGCACCCACACAAGGGCAACATCTCCCCAAAGGAGCCATCTCTGCAGGACATGCTGCAGATCAGACATTCAAGATAAAAATACAGACAATACAAACCACCTCTGAGAGCAGTTTTTTCATGCATGTCAGTAAACCACCCATAGACACCGTTAACTTATGTGAGTAAACCACCCATAGACACTGTTAACTTTAGGAGGAAACAGCAGAACCAAACAAATCACCGATGCAAAACGTAAAAAAAAAAAAAGACCAGAAAACACCTGGTTCAACTAAATATGTGCAGTCTGCAACTGCATGCCCTCCATGAACACACAGAATTGCACAGAATGACAGAATGGGTGAGGCTGGAAGGGGCCACACACACCATGCAGCCTGCAAAGGAGACTGTACAGATCCACGGTGATGCCGTGCTCTCTCCAGACACAGACGTGTCACCACTGAACGTGGCAAGCTGCCGGCTGGCCCAGACAACCCCCGGAGCTGCTGATGAAAAGCAGCTGGATCTTGAAGAGAAGTCTGAGAGGAGCTGGAGGGAGAGCAGACTGAACAATGTCACAATTTTTTCCCGCAGATTTATAACAGTGGCTAGTGAGGATAGAACACCTGAAAGCCTTTGTTCAAGCACCTGGGAGCAAGGATGGAGCATGCGGAGAGCACAGCGCCCAGCCTGCTGCCTCCTCCCCACCTTCCTGTCCAAGCACCCCTGTACACACTCATTGTCCCATGAAGCTTCTTTAAAGAAGCAAAAATGTCTGAAACAGGAGACAGCTCGAACAGATTTTTATCACCACATCCTGCACATATCAAGTGAAATCACAAAGAGGGATGTGCAGTCCACAAAATAAATAAGCAATTAACCCTCACAGCGAAAGAGTCAATCTCTTGGCTTTGGGGGAGGGGAGTAGTGGTAGCTGGGGAAAACTCATTAACACCGGGAAGATTAGTGAAACTATCAATGAAATGAAGCAGGTCACCTGCAGGACAGGAGAGCACAGGTGAGAGGTGGGGGAGACCAGCCATCTGCAGCTACAGCTGAGCTGAAACACCCAACAGACACACGGTGCAGGTCCAAATCACAGCAAAGAAATGAGCCTCGTTAAAGGTTCATTTAGAGTAGGGTGTAAATGCAGGCTGGGCGTAGAACTCGACTGAGGCAGAATCGGAGTAGGATGGGCAGAGAACAGCTGAGCACTGCTCCACCCTGCACTCAGCATCTCCCGGCTGGCCAAGGAGGGTCCTAAATCCACACCAGCTTCGAGCTAAGGCATTGTCCGCGCTTCAGCAGCCACCCCTTGAGCTGCAGCAACCGGCTGGATTCGTGCCTTGCTACTGCATCAAAGATGAGCAAAGCACGGCCTAGAAGCCGCTGCAGGTGGGTTTAAATAAGCAGCCAGACTCATGCGGGGCCTGCTCGGACAGGAGCTCGGTGGGCTCTGCTCACGCCCGGCCCCTCACACTGCCTCCGTCACGGAGGGTCTGAGCTGCGGTCACAGAGCCTGACTGGGACCCGCACGGACTCTGCCGGGCGCCTGTGAAAGCCGGAGGAAGCTGGGACCTCTCGAGTGCCAGCCAGGGGCCCACCTCCCCACCGAGACAGCAGAGCCACAGCCCACGCTCTTCTTGCCTCTGCGCTTTGCTTTTTTCGCCTCTTTGCAAGGTCGTTAGGTTTGACAAAGTTATCTTCTCCAGTTGGACCGAACTGCTTTTTCTCAGGGTTGATCAACTTGTGTCATGGAAATTACCCAGGGTGGAGGTAAACCAAGAAAAGGGGCATTCAGATGGTTCCTTTTATGTTTCACAGATCATTTGCATCCTTATTCTCTGCCTTTAGGGCAACTCTCAGTTGACTGAACACCTGCTTTTAGCTGCCGGGAAGCACACAACAAACCTCCTTCTCCACCCACCCCCAATTCACACCCCTTCCGAGTACTTAACTGGTGTCACTGAGACTTGCAAAACCCTCCTTATTTCAGGCAGGCTGCTCATTTCATATTGGTCAAGATGGAGACGACAACATTCTCCTGCTTATCATGTCCCAGAATCCCAAAGCATCCCAGCTCAAGGAAATCCCAAACTCAAAGAAAGCAGAGAAAAGCAGAGAAAGCATCGTGGCTTTGCACTCCCTGAGCCCTGAATATCCTTGCTGATATCCATGGTGTCAGCCCAGCACAAAAAATGCTTCAAAAAAAACCGGAGTGACAGAGAAAGAAAGCCAGATGGAGTGAACTTAATTGTGAAAAACCCAGAGAGACGTCCAGCAGCCAAGTAAAAATGAGGCTGTTCCTGGAATCACTGATACTGCAGAAAGCATCCCCCCCCCGCCCCCTTCTTAGATACCCTGGAATCACTGATACTGCAGAAAGCATCCCCCCCCCCGCCCCCTTCCTAAGAAGCCCTTGCATATCCCGTAAAATTGCTCATCCTTAACATCAATTCTCACAACTCCAAAGAATCCGTTTATTCCTGGTCTCTGGATGGAGATTCAAGGCACGGTTCAGAGCAAAGAGACCAGTGGCAGAAGCAAGCATCAAATACAAGGGCACCGTGAGTCCCTGCAACATCTTCTGGTTGCAGACAGACAGAAGGCAGGAGCGGTATGTGTCAGGCTCAGGCAAAGGGCAGTAACCACATCATTCCGCTGTGACAGTTTCCCTTGCTATAAAAAGGAGAGATTCCTCTCTCCAGGGTGGCAATGAAAACACTCCAATTATCAGTAATACAGAAAAGCTAACAGTAAATTGCAGAGAAAACATTAAATAAATGAAGAATAACACAAACACATTTCCTTTGCCCACTTACAACTAAACAAGAGTGATGTACTACAGCAAATTATATTTGTTCTTTGACTTAAAGGTGACAATCTTGACAATGGACCATCATTAATCCCTATTTCTGAACAGACTGCCCTCAGAGAACAAACACTGAGAGCATCAGCAGAAGCATAAGCATACCAAAAATCTTCCAGAGTTACCTCTGCTTAAGTACAACACCTTGTACGTCTAAATTTCAGCCAGTGCCAATATTTATCCCCACTGCAGTAGGGATGAGCCAGCACAGGCTGAGCACTCTGCAAACACAAGCAGAACACATCTCCAAGAACAAGGAGGGGAAGAAGAGGGGGTGGCCGAGCAAAGTCAGGCAGATGTCTGTGCAGGATTTCCCCTGGCTCAGAGATGCAGGGATGTGCACAAAAGCTCTGGATGGAGATTCTAATCAACAGAGAGCTGACATGCACACCCCACTTCTTCACAGAACCACACCTGGGGGATTCTGCACCTTATCCAAGGTACCAGGATGTGGATGCTCCCTCTACAGGTGTCAGGTTCCCATGGGGAGATGGCAAGCATTGTTCCAAACCTTCCTGTGGCTGAAAAGCCACAAGCCACATCACTCAAAAAGCCAAAGAGCAGAGCAGCTCCAGGGCTGGTTCCCAGGAGGTTACAGTGCAGCCAAAGCTGCCTCACTAGGTCTTAGTGCAGCGGCTCCTGGGGCTGGAATAAACTCCTGAGGTTGGAATCTCTTGCTGATTCTCACTGGGGCTGCAACAGCCAGTGTGAGATGACCCAGTTGGACTGAAACCTTCTCAACAATCATACCCTATCCTTCAGGAATGCATGTATGCTGCCAGTCAGGGTGCATAAATGCCGAGAGCAGGCTCAGACAAGTGGCTCACAGATTTAAGCTGTGTCCAAACCTTGAAGAAAATTTAAGGGCAGTTTAGGAGCGGCCAAGCTTTCATGCAGCAGCTTTGGACACCCGAAGCCACAAGCAAGGACCCTGAACTCCAGCCCTCCCACACAGGACACAGATATTACACATGCCTTGCAGACCCTACAACCAAACAAGCTGCCCTAGCTGTGCTGACAGTGCAGAGAAACAGGTATTGTAGGGAATGATTCAATTCATTCAGATGCCTACAGCAGGTCAGGGTCAGACACTTTCAAAAAATACCCATTTCCTTCCAGCGACTGTAAAAGGAGGCTGGGGGGACTGGATCAGTAGCAGGTAATTCTATCAGAGCTCCCTAAACCTAGACAAGTAAAGTCCCCTGCTGTGAAGCCCAAATACAGCCAGAAACAAGACCTGTGATGCACAAACCTCAACAGATTCCAGATAGTCTCCAGCCCTTCTGAGACTCCCAAGCACAACAGCAGTCTACAATCCTCCCATTAGGCCTGAAGAGGCAAATACAGCAAAACCTGTAACAAAAGGAAATCTGGAGGATCAACAGGAGAGGTCTCACACAAAGGGTGCAGGGAAGACCCGGAGGGCTTCTATCTCCAGGCTTATGAGTGCTGAAAGATATCACCACTCACCTCATTTCCCAGGAAACCCTGGCAGGATCTGACCTCCCTTTGACACGCTCCTCCCTTCTGCTTTCTGCAGTCAATCCAGACCTGTATGACATTACGACAAAAGAAATGTCAGCAAGCTCAATCTTGTCCCCTCCCTCCAACCAAAAACCTTCAATTGCCTTAATTTTTCAACATAAGGCTGCAATGGAAACCAGTTATATATAAAATACAGCTTATATAAATAGCAGCTTATGTATACATTTAAATATTTATAATATTTATACATCTATTTAATACATATTACTTATTTAAATATATACATACATATATATAAATATATAAATTGGTGAAGGGATGGAGCCCCATGCAAGTGGCTGAAGCAGCAGCACATTCCTCTGCAGCCACCAAAGTTCAGGCATCAATGATGGAGCCCTACAGCCTGTCCCATGCTGGACTACCACAACGACCCAACAATGTGGCATGCCAAGGTCCTCCCGAGATGTTCACTGCCAGCTCTAGAGCAATCCCTCAAACACTCCTAAGGAGTAATGGGAGGAAATACAGACAGGAGTGACAGGGAGCCTGGGCCAGAGCAGTGAGGAAAAGGAATGGAGGCAGCAGCCTCCTGCTCCATGACCCAGAGCATCCCAGTGTCATCACAGGGAGGACAAGGTCTTTTCCTCATGGTGACCTCCAGACACTGCTGAGCCCCCTCATTACAGCCCAAGGGTCACACAGGACAGCCAGGTGGACATCAGGCTGCTGTTCAGGTTCTCAGTGCTCTGCTGGGTGGTGGTCCTCATATTTTCTCCCACCACACAGGTCCCTATCCTCTCCTTCTCAGGTAGCAGAGCCCTTGTTGACCAATAATTCACACAGCCATATATCAAACAGCTTTCTATCACACAGGTTGCTGGCAGTGTAAGTGTGAGGCAGAGGAGGAAAGGGGACCTTTATCACCATCAAAATCTTCTCACTGCTCAGCCTACTTAAATCCAGCCACATTTGCACTGCTAAATTTGGGAGAGTATGAGAAGCATTCCCTTGTAATGGGAGGTGGGGGAGGGACAAGGCGCTTCTGGCCTTCTTTAACTCCTGCCAAGTGCTCTGTAATTCAAAATCCATGTCAGGGAAGCCACTCCTGGCTGCACAGCAATGGCCTAGACCCAGCAAACCTGGAGATGAGTGCCTTAACTCCTTCCAGTCAGCATCTGAGCTTGCCTATATTAAGAAAATTATTGAGTCAGGCTTTAGGAAACAGCTCCCACTGAAATAGCAGGTATCCAGGAGGTATGTGGAGGGAATTCTGGACACCTCCACACATCAGCTTCAGACAGTGAGTTTGAAGACCCTGCCCTGAAGGGATGCAGTGCTCAGCCTGGTACCAGCTAGCAGCAATCCTCACCTTCAAACTCATTTAAGAAGCTGTAAATTACTATTTTTGGGTACAAAACAGATGAACTACTCAGGAAAGACAGGATCAATACCTGCAGCAGGAAGGGGTCACCATACCAGAGAAGAATTACCCTGACCTGCAGCACAGGCACTTATAAACAGTTACCATCAGGCTTTGCTTTTGAGACCATAGGAACAATTAAACCTCTCTCTCCCTGTTGCTGGCAGGTACAGGAAGGAAACAAAGGTCACAGTAACCTTTCTGGACCTGTTCTCCATAAACACCATCACCACCTGCACCCTTCTGCAGATGCCCAGAGAAATGTGCCCCTGGAAACACAATCCATGGAACATCTGGGAGGCCAGATGTGTTGCTGCCCACACCCAACAAATAAACATTTTAATTAATCCCAGAGGGTGCCAAGTCTGGTGGTGTACATGGTGAGCCAGAAATTTTCCTCAGCCACACTGAGACATTCGAGGGAGCTTTTGAGGAATCCAGGCATGAGCCTGGGCAAGCGGCCGGAGACATTTCCCAAGCAATTCACACGCACACACAAAAAAAAACCAAAAAAAACCAAAAACCCAAACCCAAAAAAAACCAACCTAGGCTTGTTTTCTGCAGAAGTGGGCATCAAACGTTCTGACATCAAGAAGGATGATTAAAGACAGCTGAGGTGCAGGAAAGATTAAAAGAACTAAATATGCCCAACCTGGCTAAGCAATGAGTAAGAGGAGACGTGATAAAAGACTCCAGGCATCTGAATGAAGGGAGTGGCGTGGCATTAAAGGACTGAATAAAATATCTTTCTGAGAAATGGATCCATCAACGATCTCTCAAGAGATAAGGTACAAGCCTCATTTTTTAGGCATTTATAAAACCGGTCGCCAGAACTGAGGTTTTTGAGGAGAAATCCACATTGCCTTGAAGGGAATATACACCACAGCTTTTTATCTCTGCCATGGGGTGCTGCAAGCAAGGACCTCGATGCCATCAGGGAGCACAGGAAACTTGGGATGGGGCAAGCATTTCATACCACCTCACCCAAGAAGCAGAGATATGCCTTTTCACTGTAAAATTAAAATTTATAAACATACTTGATTTTTCACTTTTATTTTTATTCAGCAGCCCTGATCCATAATGTCTCAGGGTTAGGGAAAGAAAAAAAAAAAAAAAAAAAGAGAAGGAAAAAACCACCAACCTATTAAAAATGAACAGGTCTGGGGATCTAACAAGCACTAGATTTTTTTTTTCACCACAATAAATAAACATACATGGCATGGTATCAAGGAAGCAAGAGCCTGGATTGAGCTGGGCAGTGATGTTCCTGGCAACTGCCAGCCCAGCAGCTCCCTAGACACAGCCAGACACAGAACACACATGGGCAAAGTGACAAAATCCTGGGAAGTTTTTCAATACTTGGCTCTGATGAGATCGTAGCCTTCAAAGTATCCTCTGACCCTCTGAAACCCAGGGGCCTTATACACCTTATAAAGATCTGAAATGAGCCCTAAGGCCTGAGTAAACCACCCAGGAGGAGAGATAAACCTGTTATGCTGGCTTTGCCCCAAAAAGCCATGTAATGCACACCTCACCATCAACTCTGTGAAGCCAAAACAGTGGATTCTGTGTAATTTCACACAATGTCCGGCCATATGAGGGTCTTCTGGACATTCCCCCTAGCACAGAGTCTTGCACCCTAGGGAAGGAGCTTGACCAGGTCAAAACTATTTACTGACTGCAGACATATGCATGATGAGGTTTTTACCAACACCAGCTTATCAGTTCATCTGATGTGCCTGGGGACTGCCAGTGACCACAAAAGGTTCTTTCAGGTGCTTCTGCCCCGATATTGCTGATGCAAAGCAGCCACCGGGGGTAGGACTTACAAAGCTCAGTGGTATCCCAGATTTGGGTACTTAGAGACTTCTTTCCCAGTTGGGAAAAGCCAGAAGACTGAGGTGTAATTTGAAATATTGTTAAATTCACACAATGGCTGCCCCTGACCCCCTGACCTAGTGAGCTAAGGCAGGATAGTTGAATCTAAGAGGAAACTAGATAGGAAAAAACAGAAAAGGTGAGTAATTTTCTTCTAATTAATTCCCTAAACCAGTTCACTGGGGCTCAGGCAAGTACCAGAAATCTTTCCCCTTTTGGCATGAGTGAGATCAGCTGAACTGCAACATGTGACTGCAATCCAAGGCAACCTTTGTTTGCAAGACCAAGACTGGATCTTTTTAATTTTATTTTTTTCCCCCTTTCCCACAGCAACCTCTTAAGTCTGCAACTGCCTTTCTCCATGGGAACAGGAGATCCACCGTTAACTGACCAGTGAGTTTCATTGCAGAGTTGAAACAGGATGTTCACAGAGGATTTTACTGTGGATTTTTTAATAAGTGGGACATTTTAGTAGGCAGTGTGTCTTCTTGCTTTATGCTTGCTTGTTTCTTTGGGAGGCTGAAGTACAAAACCAGGCTGCCAGATTCATTTTATATACTGAAGAAACATGATTTTGTTCTACCCAATTGTAAAAAAAGAACATAAAAAGACCCGTTCAAAGTGGAGGAAATTCTGCTCCTTATGTTTGGGATGAAAAGGGAGAATTAAAACATCTAAGATAGATTATTATACCTTCCATCAAACCTTCATCTTCCCACAGAATCAGCTGCTTCCATTACTGCAGCAACACTGATGCTGGAGATTACCTGGCTCAGGGTATCACTGTCACACAGAATTAAAGGTTTGCAGGCTGCATTTGGACAACTCCCTCCTTTCCTTTTGATGTTAATTTTGGGTATCCCGGGTAAGGCCATGACTGCAGTTTTACTCTGCTCTCATCATACATTCAGACTGACAGCTGGAGCTGGCAGCTCTCACAGCAGGTGTGGCAGGAGGGCATAGCCCCTCTCTGACCCACAACTCATCCTTCCAGGAATGACTCTGGAGTCTGGAGAAGGGAATGTAAAATTTTGACTTGTGCAATTCCCACTACAGGGAGTGGAGGTTATTTTTTCCCCATTCAGATAGTTAATAAGAAACAACTCTCTCTCAAAATGCAGATTAGTTTCTACTCAGAAGAGTGGGCTGTGGAGATAGTCCATGTGTTAAAAAAAAAAATGCAGAGAGCTCCCACAGGAAGAGCCCCAGGAGGAGCTGTGTGCTGGGAAGCAGCCAGTTCTCCATGTCCTTCCCAAGAAATACATTTCTCATCCTGACACATACATTTTGGTACACCCACTCCCACTCAACAGAGCCTTTGCCGGCATCCATTTCCCCTGGATATTTTACAAATGCTTATCCAGAGCCTCCCATTCTCACTCTCTCATATGGCAGTAACTGCTATTCTATTTTTGCTCCAGTTTTGAAAAGGTGTGAGAGAGAAATGAGTGTTTTTCATGTTTCAGAAAGATGGAAACCTCTGTCTGAGCTGGCAGCAGCTCCTCTGCTGAGGGAGAGGGAATGGATGCACTTGTCCCATGCACAAAGCTCTTGGAGGGGGAATGGGGCAGGATGTGCCTAGACTGCTGCTGGTAGTCTGGAAAGAGTTACTGCTGGGCTGGGGTGAAGAATGCAAGTGACGCAGCAGCATCCTGCAGGGAGAGAAAGGAAAACGTAAAAAAAAAAAAAAAGGGCCTTACAAAACCTCCAGCTCTTTGGCTGAATTTCAGGATGACTACACTTTTACTGTAAGCGTTTAGTAACTCAG